CCCCAAAACCCCAAAACCCCAAAACCCCAAAACCCCAAAACCCCGGAAATCAATATCAATGAAATTAAATCAGAAATAAAGATAAAACTAATAATCGACGATCATTATAGCTTGTTTTAGGCCTTCTTATTATCATTAAACATGTTTATATTAGTCTCAAGACAATTTTCTTTTTTAAGTTAGTGCTCGCAAATCTCTTGCAATAGCCTATCATAATCAATCAATAGAGAATAATTAACTGATGATCCCTCATTTCCTCTACCTTCATATCTGCTATTGACAGAGTTGTTGATCTAGCTTAAGCTATTGTTTGTTAACTTCTATTGTTGCTCGCTTTAGAACTTTTCATATTCTTCTGCAATATTCTACTGTTTTTTACTATAACATTGTAATGGTCAGTCTTCCTATAACGATTTCATTAGATCATCCATATCATAGGCTTTGAAATCAATTTAGGAGTCTTCCTACTCTAAATAATGATCATTACGCTCTAAATATGGGGAAACTATAGGATTGTTTGCTTTAGATTGTAGGAAAATTTAACTATCATCACTGTAGTTAAGCCCAAGTTTATTGGATCTAGATTTCTTGGGGGATTCCACGATTCTTATATCTATCTAGTCATTTATATTCTGATCATCTTAGTTATGTACGGATGGAGCTATTGAATGAGCACTGTCAGAACAGAAACTGAATTCTATGTTATCTTATTCCTATATAATTTAGTATGAAATTTCATAATATATGTTGTTTTATTAAGATATTGATTGATTATGCTTTGTAGAATGGTTTTATTTGCTGCCTAAATCTTACCTAATTAGTTGCATCTCTTGGATAGGCTCTTGAAATTTCAATTCATGGATACTTATATTAGAAGCAGACATAACTGGAGTTTCATGCTTAGGTGACTACCTGATATATTTACCGACCTTCTATTAGTGCATCTTGATGATATGTCTAGTCGGAGAGACTATCTTTATTTATGAACTCTATTTTGAAAGCTTTTGCTAAAATCTCTGTTCGTCTCTTATAGGTGATTCTTTCATATACGAAACCAATGATCTTGCACTAATACTTCCGCTATCTTAGTATCTATTTTTTGGGACTGGTTTATTAGGTTTCAAGCCGGTTTAGTTGTCAACAAATAATCCTTTCTTCTTGATAAAGTTATTAAATATTACCTTTGGTGGGTACTTTTCCTAATCAGGAATTAGACTATTTCTTTTATCTCTATGACTCATAACTGCAGAGGCTTTTCTAGTTAATTAGACTTTTTATAATGAACTATCATTGGATTTATTCTAATGTGAAAGGTCGATTATGAAATGATGATTTTAGTCATTATTTTAACTTTTTTACTTTTGAAGTTGTTATATCTATAAGTTTTATTTCACTGTGTTATGGCTAGATATTTGCTTTTAAGTAATTGCTACTTCACTTTTATTTTATTCTTAATTAATAAGAGCTTTACCAGGTGAAACACTTCTTACTAGACTACTAACTCGCTTTTAGATAAAAGTTCTGTAATCTCTTTCTTAGCTCTTATCATCTTTAGAGTTAGCAGGCCCATTATTTTTGAGATACTTAAAGTAATTGAGCTACTTAAATATAGAGAGAATATTCTATTTGCTTAGCTCCTCAACTATTAGAATGTAATCTATAGCAGCCTAGAAAATTAGCAGAATGATACCAGAGCAATCATTAATCTATGATTTATTAACAGTTAGTAGCTTAATGCTTTTCTAATATTCCTAATGTAAGTTATTGACAAACTTGATGTTGAATCTGAGATTATCAATAGAGATTTTAACTTTCAGGATAAATTGGTACAGCTTGGCTGAAGATGTCAAATACTTCACTATTTCACTCCAATCACAGAATTGATAATTTTCCTAGTTTTTGATATCAAAATCCTTTGTCAATGATTAGATTAGCTAGCAAAATAGTTGACAGCTCTTCAAAGTATATAAAGAAGGTTTTTTAATTTAAGCTAAATCATTGATATGTCTGAGGCTAAGTTTCTTGAGTGATTACATAAACTTCGATTGAGCCTAATTAAATGATTAAGTTAGCTTCTTTAGATTTTAATCATTTAGTCTATTCTATAAATTTTCTAAGCTATTTTCATTATATTCCTATTGCTAAGGGATAATGCTTGAAATCTTGCTAGACTTTTATATAAAGTTAGACTTTTCTCTTCGGCTTATTGAAGAAGGTCTGCTTGAACTGACAATAGAAGTGTTTTAATTCGTTCTCGGAGTAATGATTAAATCTGAATTATTTGCAATTTTATTTGATTTTTTGGGAGAGTTATCTCTCGTCTGAGCTCCCTTTCTAATTAATGATATCAATTACTTGCCTTTATTCTATTCTCTTTATTGATACTATCTTTACATTTTGATCTAACTTAGATCTGGACTTCTAACATAAATATTTTACTAGCTGATCAAACTAGAATTATTTATTTCTCTTAAGTTTGGTGATTGCCTGAATCGCTTGTCACTCTGGAATGTAGTGTCTTAGGTCTGTTGTTACAAATTATCTTTCATGCTTAGTATACCTTGTAGTGCATTGAGAGTTCCTTTTCTCCTCTCAATTTCACTTACCATATTTTTATAACTCTCATTATCTAGTCCTTGAATCAAATTTTAATTATTATTCTAGATGCAACTGAGAAGCAGTGACTCTAGCTTGCTATTTTCACTCATATATTGTTGTAATACCTGGAGTAGTTGTGGTGATTAGATTTATCCTTTCATAGAATTTAAATCAGATGTTTCTTCTCTAGAAATAAATGACATTAACGATAGCTGTTATATCTTAGTTTTAAACAATTAATCTATACTTAAACGTATTTTATATTTTAAACTTTATTTGAATATTATTTCATCATCTAAATGCTTGAGTAAAGTCTGTTTACGGGGTTTTGGGGTTTTGGGGCAAAGCTGATTCGACTAATCGTAATAAATGACAATCAA